TACCAAAATTTGGATGATTTTGAATATTCACTTGAAAAGTTATCAAAGAAAAACATTTTTCATTTTGTAACTTCGAGGGCCCGTTACTTGGTAACGAAGGATTTTAGGAAAAAAAGTTATATGAAGTACTGGTGATATTTTGACCCCATCTATACATTCCCGAGAGGAAAAGAGGAAGTCCAGGGACACCCTGTATAGAGTACCTACACAATTTTTATCGATCAGTATATTCTAGGATACAGAAGGATATTTATTTATTGAGATATGGAACTACAAAAACAAATGACATTAACACGGACAAAATTTTTGAAGCAACCAATCACCAAAGAATTCTATTCTGATGATCTCTCTATTTCCATGCAAGTATATTATTGCGAATTCAGCAAATAGGTATCGGGTCTTTCAACAAAAGAATCAATATATTTACTTATTGTGATTCGAGATATATGATGAATCTACAATAGGGATTGGTGAAAGTGGAGAATTTTTTAGTGGCTTCAATCTGAAGTCCGAAATATTACTGAAGTATAAGTAGAAGAATCACAATTTGTGCTACATAAATTGTAGAAACCTTGCTGGGAATCGCACATTGAAAGCTAATACCCCGTTAATCCTTAAGTCGCACAAGTTTCGACTTCTGAGAGTTGTCGTTAGTAGGGGGGCATAGCTGTTTAACGACAAAAAAACATATTTCCAGCAAGTAATAAACAAGTTCATACGAATTCACTTACAATGGTTTATTTCCAGTTAGTGCAATGATCAGGTCTACGGAATAAGCAGGAATCCAGTGGAAGAAAAATGCAGCAATAGCATGCATAAAATATGTTGATTTTGCACTACCTCCTGGGTACCATAAGCACACACTGAATGGATATTTATAAACGTATTTCTTGCCTAGTTCCAAAGCATATCCCCAACTTACAGGATCATTCTGAAAGATAAAATATATCAGGTACTTTTTTAGCCCTCAAATAATTCAACTACAAAAAATTCATTGTAATACGAAATATATTATTTTCACAAAAGTTGAAAACAACTGAACTAATTCTTTCCTTTCACTTTCAAAATATATGTTTAATAATTTTATTATTGCCGCTTTTGAAAAGTTGGAAACATTATTTGAAACACATAATATAAAATGAGAAAAAAAGGGTCCAAAATAGATTTTTCTTTCAAGCAGGTGTTGTCCCTGCGGAAAGGACAATTCTCAAATATCAATCAAATAGGTCTCATCTTTCAACGTCTATTTCCTAGAAAGGTGAATTACTATACAGTTGTGCCAAAGGATAGCAACTTCCTAAGCCACAAATCTGAGTTTCTTAACCTGACGAAGGCCGTCGTAGACTGGTCCTCGACCAATTCGTCACTAGACTGGGGAATATAAACCATGGTTTGGTTACTTTGGAGCGGACTATTCTTTACGAAGAAATGTCAGGCCCTCATCAGACGTGGACATTTGTCTCTGAAAGTTAGCCCATTGTTTTGTTCCATCGAGTTGAATAAGGAATTGTAGGAACTGCCTATTTCCTACAGCTCCTAAAATACCAATCCACTAAAAATTTATAAGATTGGTAAGTTATTGCGACCAATTGTCTCCGCAATAAGTTCCCCTACTTATAAAATTGCCAAATGGCTAACCAAACAGTTTGAAATTCTCTGTCTTAACATCGAGTTTAAGTGTGATTTAACTGAATTCTTAGATAAAATTAAGGATATTGGGTTACAAGATAGAGAAATTTTAATATACCCTAATAGATTGAACGTCAAAGTAGGTTTCAAAACTGCTTTTTCACTTCAACAAATGTTGAGTAACTCTTAAGACACGACGTTATAAAATGAAAAGTCGGGATATATGAAATAAACTGTGAGAACTGTGACAAGAAATACATCGGCCAGACTAATCGAGCTATTAAAACTAGTTTCAAAGAACTCGCATCACATATTCGAATTCGGAGACCAGATAAATGAGTTTGAGAATTTGTTGCTCAATATATTCCTAAAATTGCTAATAGATACATTTTTTTATATCTGCGGACGATTTGAGTCTAATGGACCTTGAATATTTTCAAAAAACTGAAGAAAAGGATTGGGGGGTTACAAGGGGTCCAAATTTGAGGTAAATGATCCTTTTTTTTTGAGATTATTGAATATGACTGCTGGACGGACGACAGACAAGACGACATCATTTGCCGAATTATTGAAAATATCTAAAAATAATTATGAACTCAAAAAATGTATAGATTGAATGTGTGTACTTTTAGGTGAGATTAATTTTTGGGAAAAAAGGTTTTGGCTTTCTACGTCACAGCAGAGAAGTAGAAAGCCCTAACGTTTCTTTCTCAAAAAATTTAGTAGACCATCATTGATAATTTTCGATTTCACCAATATTTTTGGAGTTATTCAAGTAAATAGATATTATAGTAAATAGGTATCGAGTGTTCGATATTAGTTTGATTTCACTCTTTTCAAAGATTCTAGAAAACCAAACTACTGAAAAAATATTAGATACATTCAAGTGCTACGAAGGTTCTTTTGAAGAATCATTCAATTGAATATCGATGGTAATTAATGAAAAGATAAGTTGGATATTTCTTCATATAATCACAGTATAGAAGTAAACACTAGTAAGTTCACTCTCCGCCATATTTGGGTCAAGATTCCCCACCTCAAATTTTATGCGCAGCCGAACTACAGCGCAACCGACTGAATCTGAGGCGTTTACCAAGCGAGCCAAATTCAGGCATGGAATATTATTACAGAGTGAATCGTTGTAAGTGGTGGTTTTGTATTTGTGAAAAATT